CAGCAGATTTGGGCTGTACTCAGCAAGCGCAGTACAGCCCCCAACTCAGATTTGAAAAATCAGTGGATGGCTGTTTTCTGACTGGTCGGCAGACCACTGACCGGTCGGCCCTACTGGTCGGCTGCAATACGGTCGGCGGTCGGGGTCGGAGGTCGGCAGGGATGCAACCCTGCTGGCGACCACAAAAGGGGGGTCTAACGTTATTTTGTTTTTTTTTTGGGGGGGGGACAGTGTACAATGTTGCAGCCACTGAGATGGGCACAAATCTGGGCTTATCTTTGAATTTCGTGACGTCCCACCAAAGAGCGTCCATCGGGTATAAACTGGGTTGAAAGAGGTGTGCGATCATTTAATGCTTCGTTTTCTTTGTTTTTTGTTTGTAATCCGTCACAATTTCCAGCAAATATATGGGACCAACAGCACCATTTCTCCCTAGAAACTCAAAGGTACTTCAGGGAGTTGTACGACAGAAATGGCATTGTCCTCCTCAAGTGTCAAGGATGCCATACCATGTCAAATCTGACAACGTTTCTAGGATTAGAGCTCAGGGCGAAGTGGAATAAGCTGCCCCTGCTTTCGACGATCTTTCTGGGTGTCTAGTGAGACCCATGAAGCCTAAAGGGGGCCCCAGCCTTATGCACACACAGTGCGGTACTTCGTGCCCTAATCAAGAGTGCAGCCCATGAAAGGATTCCAAGCATATCAGCGTCCACTTCTCAGTTCCCATCCCACAGTTCCAAAGTCCCAAGTACCGTAGTACTACCATGTAATAGGCCGGAGAGCTGGGGGTAGGTTGTAGGCCTGGTAGGACAAGTAGACCTGGTACGCATGCCAGCCCGGTCAGACTTCAGTCAGTCTGTCCAGCCCAGTTAGGAGCTCAGTCCCGAGAATGTCAATGAAATTTCAGAATGCGTCGAAGACTGTCATGGGCAAGTGAGTACCGGTAGGGGAAAGTCCCAGATTTGGAAATGCAGCGTCAAATACGAAAATCTGGAGCAGCAAACCGTCAACACATTTTTCCTTTCGAGCTTGTTGCAGAATCACTGTTGCGGTCTTGTGCGACCAAGTCTAGAGAAATGCTGGAGAGCGGTCAAGCACCTTAGTCAACGATGCCCGACAGCACAGCCGTAGAAAGAGTGAACAAGGCATTTAGAGTGAGAGTGAGGTCTGACGTAGTGCAGGGCACAGACACAGAGAGAGAGAGAGAGAGAGAGAGAGAGAGAGAGAGAGAGAGAGAGAGAGAGAGAGAGAGAGAGAGAGAGAGAGAGAGAGAGA